GTTTGCAGGATCTCTGTTCTCACTGCAAAGCCCACTCCGTACAACCTTCTTTCACCTTTCTGGGAGACCTTTCCAGAAGAAGGTGTACCCTTCGCCTTCCTCTACCAGGGAGCCTCAGACGCTAGGCGTGTCTCAGAGAGTGCTGCTATGTCTATGTTGTACCGTCCTAGCTCGGCTGCAATCAGTGCGGTGCGTCTCTCAGGACTGTCTGATTGGTCTGAGTCAAGTAGGGTTCGAACGTTCCAACTTGCTAGAGTCAAGTCCGTTTTCTTTACATTGTTTTGACCGCGTGTAAGGGACGCCACAGCGGGTGCGGTTCCCCGCTCGTGGTTTGTTGTGGAGCGAGCAATGATTAGGCCACCTTTTCTAGGCCCTTCCCCTTTGCTGGGGTGGGCAGTGCGATCCCTAAAAAGGGCTGCCCAGACGCTTCGGGCGCTGCCTCTAGAGACTGTCGCTCCTAGTCAGCCTTCCAGCGACCATCAGCACCGAAGCCGCCACACGTGCAGGGTAGGAACTAGGAGCTTCCAGTGGCATCCTCACCTGCTCCCGTCGTACCGACCCCATCGCCGTGGGACTTGTATAGTAAGTCAAGTCAGGGTAAGTTGAGTTAAGTAAGCTGACATGCACATAGATACACATATATAGAAGTGAAGCATGTGCTGAGTAAGTTTTAAGTGGAGAGGGGGCGCACAAACCCAATCCACTATCTTGGCCGCCCCGGCAAGGACTCCAGTGGCAGGGAGAACCGAGACGACTGGCTTGCCGGGAGGTTGCAGGGTGTCTGCGGGAGAATTTTCATCAACCGCTGCGCTGGCACCCAAGCGCTTGCTCCAAGGAGGAGCTGGAGAGTTGCGGGTGCTATTAGCCAGTTGGAGCTCGCCTGGGAACCGTCCCACCATGGTTGAACCTGCCGGGGGCGGCGAGAGAGCCGCAGGTAGACCTGTTGGCTCCCCGCCACGCCCCCGGTGGTATCGCAACCCAGGGTCATTGCAGCAGCCGTTGCCCGGGGAATACCGCTAGGAGGTTAGCACTCCGACTTAAACCCCACATCAGCATACATTACTGTAGATTATCAGCATACATTACTGTAGATTATGATGCTATTTGCATAATCAATAAGAAAATCCTCTGCTCAATGAAAACAAAAGAGCTTCATAGTCATGTTATTCATTCACGTGATTTGAATATAGGATGGCTTCCACGTTCATGGATCTATATGCTAAGATCATTTAAAATGTTGTGAAATGATTCAGTATTTTCCTAAACATTTTAATCTAAATTTCTCATATATATACGCGTCTCTTATACGTAGTCCTTCGTCGTCGAAGATGACTGTTAGCGTCCTCGTTCCCGGAGGTATATACGCGTAGTAGAATAGGATATTGTCGTAATAGAATTCTCATTTGCCCTTAGTAGTAGAATTCTCGTTTGACAGATTGGGCATGTGATCCGCTATGTTCTAGTAGAATCGCAGATTTTCCTAGGACAGATCCCGAGTCCAACCTGCTCTAGGAGAGACTCAGATTCCAATCAGTCCTGGGACACGCCACAGCTCCAATCATGTGACATATAAAACTAGTACCATGTATGTATGTTGTAGAATATAGCATAATGCTAGACGTAGATATAGTCTCACATGCCACTGTATTTTCTTTCTTATTTTGTTTGTAACTGCGATTAGCCCTCGGGCAAGAATTTGCAATAAACTTTCTATAAACAATTGCGTTGTCAAATGCATAGAAATCACTGTTGATGTGGCGATACGCTATTGACCTGCGGTGTTGATTGTTTGGCTACGCGTAAAATAGAACAAAAGAGAATGGATGTCTGAAGTACATCTCCATTTTACACAAGCAATTAATTATGATAATATATGATTGAAAACTTAACCTCAAATCAAGGTCTGTCTATTTCACAATTGTAACATCTTAAGAAACAGCAGAGCTGAGTTCTTCATTGTCAACGCGTAGATAGAAGACTTTTGTTTCCTAATAATAAATGTTTGCTAATAATAAACCTATCTAAACAAGTTTTCTTTGTAAGACAGACTAGGACAATTGATATTGCAAACATTTTATCATATGTGCCGTTAGTCCTTTTTTTGGAGGTTGAGAGCTCACCTCTTCACCACTATGTTCTCAGCAGACAACATGCACCGCGATATTCCGAAAGGAAATTTCATTCCTATTATTCTTAAGTCCTCCAGGAGTACCCTTCCACGTAAACTCTCCAACTGATATTAATTATTACCTATCCGTATGCTTAGGCCACACCAATTTGTTGGTTCTCGGATTTTTTCACACAAAAATATGAAGTGACAGGGCAAAAAAAAATAAAAATAAAAACAGGTCTAGGCATCCTATGATAGTCCAAAATGCTATGATAGGAGCCATGAAGTCAACGCGAAAGGCTGGATTAATATCTAAGCAATGAATTTTAAACTGCATTGATAGATGGAAAAAATGGAACAGCTAGGAAGAAAAGGACTTTCCTCAACTTTTGGGGCCAAAATATCAGCATTTTAGTTGATTCAGAAGCAGAGGCGAATCCGAGAAACAACATATTAAATTAGTGTGGCCTTAGTTACCTTCAAACCCATTTAAAGTGGGGTACACACTGAAGCAACTACATGTTTATACTGTGTTTACAACATACAATAAAAACACAACAAAAGCGGGACTTAATTATCATAATTGTCGAAGAATTGTCCATCAAATTAATGGCTACGTTCCACCAGGCATGTATTTTCTGCTACCGTTCTAGTAAATACAATAGAGACTTCTGGAAAGGCTCACTACTTTGCATGATTAATGAATGGTATGAATGAATGGTTTATCAATGTTAAACTTTTCACTTACACCAATTTAAAATACATACAACTCAATTCCACACAAGCCTTCAAATATTATGTAGTATTAAAACAACTAACACAGACAATCGAGTGTGGTTGATTTGGGCAGCCTATTTGCAACATATCATTTCCCCTTGTTCAACAGTCTTTAAGTGATGGAACTAGACAGTTTTGCCGAGTGGTGCAGGAGGGTGCTGGAGTAAGTTTGTCAGATTCGGTTTCGGCCGTGTTCCTTTTGCCGTGTGTTCTAGTGTTAGGCATGATGGATTCAGGGTATTTGAGCAGTCTTTTTCGCCACGGGAGCCGGGCGGGGAGACTGGCGGGGAGACGGCTGCGGGGTGCCGGCCAAGCCCAGGCGAGAGTGGCGGTGCATCGAGCTGTCACCGAGCGCCCCTCTCTGTTTTAGTCGCGCCCTCTTCTCACGCCTGCGCCTCATCATATCTCTGATTCCCCCCTGGACCACGTGCTTGTCCCATCGGAAGTAGATGGAGGCAAAGAACAGGCAGATGACCAGGGCCACCGCCAGGGCAATGATGACATACAGCCAGACCTGACCGCTGGCATCGTCGGTAGTGTTCACTATAAGGCATCGCTGCTGACGGCCGAGGATGGCTTTCTTATTCTTCAAGAACAGGCACACTCTGTACCTGCAAGTGGGAATGATAAAACCGATGAAAGACTTTCGTGCCCAGAATGCACGGATACGAGCAAACGTCTAATCCGGTTTTAAAGGTAGTTACAACAATTCTGTGTTCTATGCACTCGTTCAAACGAGTCCAAACGAGTCCATTGTACACTTATATAAAATATAGGAAAACACAAATTATTGTTTTCATGAAATTGATGATCATTAAAATGATAAAAACACACATCTGTATTTATAAATGCCCGCATATGTTTAGCGACTGTAATCTGGCGCCCCTTGAATGCCATTGTGTAGTATGCTTTTATAATAATCTCCGTACTGAACTGCTGAACACTAAACCTTGATTCAGCCTGCAGGTAGTCCAGCTTGTACCAGCGCGCTGTCCGGTCCTCGATGTCGCGGTGCCGGACCTTGATGTAGTCTTGTTTGTCCAGCATCTCGTACTCCAAGTAGAACCCAGTGAACGTTACATTCCGTACGATGTTCCACGTCAGCAGCACTGTTGTTGAGGATTCCTTAGGCAGAAATACACAAGAATGTAGAACAGATGTGATTGGACTTTGATACGCTTACACCATTAACAAGTAAAATCTGAGATTTCATACCTCCGGGCTTTTTATTGTATATTCTTATATGTTGTTTGTTAAATAGTTGATGGTGTTAAATTTTGTGTTAGATTTAGCGTTCCAAGTTGTGTTAACACAGGTCAACATTTTCATCTGCAGTTTATAACATGTACGAAATATAAATCCGCAAAGAAATATACATTTTAACCAACGGTTCTTTGAATTGTGCATATTTTCACTGAATCTGGCTATGCAGCCCTGAAAACAGCGTTTTGGTGCATATTTTTAAACAAAGAATGTATTGAGACCGGACACCCCTCTGTGCTAAAGGTCATAAAAGTGGACGAGACTTGTAATACTTTAAACACACCAAAGGTCAACGGTTGCGACCATTTTCACGCTCAAAGGGGTGTTTTAGGGTCACCAAAAGGCACCATTTTCCCGCCCGAAAACACATATACAATAAAAACAAAAGAACGTGCATCATCTAGCCCAATAGCAAAACATATACCGAGTCCCAAAAGAATCCGTCCACCCAAACGCGAGAAACAGCTGCGAACATGAAAATCTAAATCTCTCACAAAACCCTTCCGCGGAAGGATGTCTCCTCCCCCGGGGTCAATAACTGGATTTTAATTCGGATATCAAATGCACTATGAGTCGCAAGAGTCATCCAGCTGTTTGTATAAAAAAACATCACAAGCTCGTCTAACTGATCTTCCGTGTATCTTCCAAATACCTCTGGGCGATGCATGACTTGTTGTGACCGTTGAAATGTAGTAGAAGTTTATTGCACGACATAGGTACAACGAATGGAAACGACTACTGAACAAAGTTCATAAAGAAAAGGGTATTAAACATCTAGAGATAATACTGTCAAGTAGGGCTAATCATCAGTTTCGGCATTTTTTTCTAATAACAAAACATTCTTTTATGTTTTTGCCAATTTCTGCATTTTAAGAGTTGCTGCATTTGAATATATAACGTTTCAGAATCGTGCAAATCAACGAATCACTGAACACGTTTAGGTCGTGTGCAGTGAACGATGCCTGTATTTTGACGCAGTGTTGTTATTGGCCATTTTTTGTTACCATTTCAACATGGACCAATGATACACTGGTGAGGAGAAACAAGACATGCACGAAATGGATGAGAAGTAAATCGTGTACTTACAGAGCTCACCGCACTTGAGCTGAAGTTGGCAATAGCGGCTGTAGAGCGGAGTTGGATGTTGTGACTCGGTAGTTCTCCACCACGCGTCCCCAGGTTAGTCAGCGTGGTCAAAATACTTAGAAAAATATTTGATTTCCCGGCACCTTCCTGAGGATCCTGCGGTCCAGCGGAAGTGCAGGAAGAACACAGGATGACGAGCAGCAGGACCGACACGTAGTGCTGACTGTAGTGACCAGTTTTCACCATGATGAACACCCTACATGTATGTCACAATCTGCCAATCAGAAGATGACGCTGCCGCTAACCTGTAAAACAGGAATAAAGAAGTGCATATGACAACAACATACCTCAGCATGAAAGTTCATCTGAGTTGGTAAATTACATTATGAAAAACTTAAACTTTTCTCCAACTCAAAATTTGACTCACCAGAAATTTTCGACCGAATCACTCAGTCTTCCTCAGCTATCTGACCCAAATGCTGTGGACACGTGATTTTTCCCACGTGTGACGTCAGCAAAGGGTCAAAGGTTGTCTGAAGTCGATATCGCCCCCCGTCCCGGTTGAGCGATGGTTGAAGTGCCCTGATGTATATGGCCTCTTTTATGCCTCTCTTGAAGTAATCCTGTTCGGTATCCAAGATTCTGACCCCCTCCAAATCCACTGTGTGTCCCGGTGATTCTATGTGGATGTGCTGTGACAGAACTGGGTCGTCTATGTTCTAGAAACCTGGTTTTTAGTGAGCGCTCAGTTTCCCCGATATAAGTTTCCCGACAGGGGCCTCTGTTAGTGTTTCCCTGACAACTTATGTGGTAGATAACCCCACATTTGTCTTCCTTGGGAGTTTTGTCCTTAGGTGCCACAAGGAGTTGTCTTAACGTACGATGAGGTCTGAGGCCCTACGTAGAATCTTTGCTGCACACGGAGTGAGTACCTGTTTCAGACCTCATCGTACGTTAAGACAACTCCTTGTGGCACCTAAGGACAAAACTCCCAAGGAAGACAAATGTGGGGTTATCTACCACATAAGTTGTCAGGGAAACACTAACAGAGGCCCCTGTCGGGAAACTTATATCGGGGAAACTGAGCGCTCACTAAAAACCAGGTTTCTAGAACATAGACGACCCAGTTCTGTTGCATCTGAGGTGTCACAGCACATCCACATAGAATCACCGGGACACACAGTGGATTTGGAGGGGGTCAGAATCTTGGATACCGAACAGGATTACTTCAAGAGAGGCATAAAAGAGGCCATATACATCAGGGCACTTCAACCATCGCTCAACCGGGACGGGGGGCGATATCGACTTCAGACAACCTTTGACCCTTTGCTGACGTCACACGTGGGAAAAATCACGTGTCCACAGCATTTGGGTCAGATAGCTGAGGAAGACTGAGTGATTCGGTCGAAAATTTCTGGTGAGTCAAATTTTGAGTTGGAGAAAAGTTTAAGTTTTTCATAACAACATACCTCATTCATGTTGCAAACAGAACTAGAGTTCGTGGAACACATGCCTGCTTTTGTCAGGTGTAGATATTTTGTTCTATATTGTTGATGTGGGAAGAATATAAATGGTGCAAATATACTTGTATATGAATATGCAATTTTCTTCATCTGGATATCTGTATAATCGCAACCAAATTATTATTTTTTACACTGATGATATTGATTACTTATTGGTTGATATTGTGAATATTGTTAAGTTCAATTTACGCACTTTTTTAGTTGCCTATATGTTAACTGTGAAATACTCACTTGTTTAGTTGTCTAAAGTTTGTTACTTGTAACTGTGCAATATTTGTCTCTCTGTTTTTAAACACTAGCATGCAATTCAGAGCTACTTTTTTAGTTGCGCTGCCATGTGCTAGCGATTGTACTCATCGATCAATCAATAAACAATTATTATTTATTAAAAGAAACCAGCTATTGTTTTCAACGCGCCAGGTCACGTTGCATAATACATTCCAGTGCCAGATGTGTCCCAGAGTCTTGGACATGTTGTCATTAAGCCCATCACGGAATATGTTTACCTCATTGTTATGTACAGTATATCCTGATTTGCATAATATGCATCTCATTATGTTTATCTTCACCTGAGGCACCTACCTACCAAAAGTAATGAAAAACCATCCACCAATTCAAAAAACAATCCAGTTATTTGCGCTCAAACTCTGAAACAACAAAAACGATCACTACAGTTCCAACGAAGCTGCTAGGAGGTCAAAAATACACCACATAATCCCAGTCCCACCAGCTTTTGACTACTTACATATCATGAACCTAACATTTCAGGAAAATTATACCTCAAACTTTGAAGCTCCGCTGAAATACCTAAAACAGCCGCTATGAGGCCCATTATAAAACTTGACCGGCGTCTTTCCTGTCCCTACCTAACCACTAAATATCATTAACAACCATCCGCATTTTCTCGAGTTATGTTGTACATTTGTACGCAAAAACAAAAAAACACAGCTCTCTGCAGCAATGTAGGAACATGATAGGATAACAATATTCGAATTTGAACTTTGTTTCTATAACCGCTGCTCACCTACCAAATATCATTAAGATCCATTCACAAATTTCCGAGTTATCCTGCATATCCGACAATTGCACAAAAACTCCGCTGCAGTACGATTGGTGAACCCTTTTGGCCTTGAACTACATTTTCACAACAGCTACCCACATGCCGAAAATAAGAAAAATCCGTCCACAAATAATCGAGCTGTGACGTTGACATTAATACGGGGACACGCCACAGCTGCTCCAACAAAACGATTACATACCTTTCTGACGAAAGCAAAAATTTGGAAAAACAAATCGAAATCTGTGCGTGCAATGATCAAACAGACCAGGTTCTTATCCAGTTTGTGTCTGACCAACAACAAATACAGAACTAGTGTCTAAATGGATAAAATGTTGGCTATGGTCAATGGTAAAATGATGTTGGGTATGGTTAATGGTATAATGTTATAGACGTATATCACTGGAGCAATAGCAAAAGGTATAACAAGTTAACAACTAAGGAGATTTATAAACAGTTACATTGTCCTAGCTACCATGAGTGGAGAACGTCTAGTCGATCGGGATGCCGACAGCACAATGTAACAACCCATCCGCCATACATGTATATAATGTATTATGTTGACAGAAACGTACTGTTGGACAAAACAAAGTACGACCTCCTGTATGTGATATATCAAATATGCAAGCAGTACTTTACAATGATCTGAAAATCGTAAGTCGTACGGAAGGCCGTTTCGTTGACAGCTCCGCAAATGTTTGACCTCGAAAAATACAGAAGTTTCAGGTTCTTGTCAGGTATGACTCATCTTTATTACAATCATAACGTTGGGCCTTATATTACTGAATATGTTGGGTCACGCAATACGTCAAAAGGCCAGTTAATTCGGGCACGGGGAGTAAACCGATATTGAGAGCCGGCTAAACAAACACTGGCAGAGCATGAAACATCATGCAGCTCTTCTACACAAATCCTTTCAAACCTTCATCCTCGATCAAATAACGTTCACAACACCAGATGCCAAGACCGGGATCTCCCTCAACGTTGCAACAAGCTCTTCAAACTAAGATTTTAAGTCTTTCTATCAGTTGTCTACAACTTAGACTAAGAAACTGAAAATGTTAGCCAGAGCTTCTGTCAGTGCTTCGCCAGAAACTTGAAACATTTCAGAAGAGCACATCCGTGCCAGCACCGAGGTGATGTTTAAAGAGCTGACAGATTTGTGCAGGCATGACCTGTCCCCTTGAATGACGCCAACCAGGCAGACTCTTAATATTAATCAATTTATTATTTTCTATTACACTTTCGTACAATTGGTAATTAAGGGGCTATGATATCATCCCAGGCCCTATGGACATCCAAGACTTCTCAATTCTGAAGTTCAGATGATGACGTATACTGGCACAGATGGCGGACATGTCGCGGTGGAATTCTCGGCCTTCCAACACTTCGCGACGGCTGTTACTTGTCAGTGTGGATCCAGCCAATGTCATTCCATCATGTCTCCGGCTTCTCAGGGCTAAAATTATCGTGCAGAACTCAACATCTGATTTTATTTACCGAGCACAATCCACTGAAGTTACTCATGGAAGTAGATGGTCACTCGAAGGTACAATTGTCCTCCATAACCTGCCATAAAATGCTATATTTGTATGCCGCTGTAGGATAACCCCCAAATTATATTCACCACTACACAGGACCCAGTTAATTGTCAGTGTTGTTTACCTTTAACTATGAAGGATCCGGTCAATAGTGATTATCTTTATAATTTTTCCACAGAATACTGACAAAGGGACATGATCTACACCATACCATTAAGAATACACGTATTCATTTCATGAAATAATCATTTACATTATAATATTGTTTTTGTTAATGCTTGTCATTAATCTATACAAGGAAACTGCAGCAAACTATACATTCCAGATAGAAAGTCTGATGAATTCAAAGATGTCGTACTTACAACTGCACGTATATGTCAGCAACGTCTAGCCATGGACAAACACGTCATTACCGAAATCTTATTATCGGTATCGGCGGGAAGTAGAAAATATGGTGTGTCTCCGTTTCGCCTGAGTCATTTCCACAAACGTTATTTTGGCTTCATTTCCGTCATGCGCAACACGGCCTGGCGATAACCAGTAGGACTCCGTAAAGCCTCGGTCACAACCCGCCGTGCGTGCTTTTTTTCCGTACGTTTTTTGGGAGGCTACATCTGCTACGTTTTTTCTGAAAACGTGGGGAAGGAGTGGCATCGACGCATGTCACACGCACGTCACTCGCACGGTTTCGCAAGGTGTAAGAGTGTGGTCTGCAAGCCACGTCTGGCCGTGAGCGGTTGCGTACATCGTACGTTGCGCAAGTGGTAAGTGAGTTGTACGTGCTTACAACGTACGATCTCTGTGCGATTGCAACTTTACCGTAAGGAGGTCATACTCATACGTGCGCCTTTCGTACGGTACGTACGGGGCACGCGCGTCGCCCGTACTCGCACGCACGGGTGGTGAATCCGTAGACCGCACGCAGAAAAAGTTTTACATGCACTTAAAGTTCTACGGCGTGTCTGCGTGCTCCCAAATCCGTAGGATTCCGTACTCACCACGCACGGATGCCCTGCGTTTGCCCACGTTTTTGCACGTAGACAGCACGCAGAAGCACGTACGGCGGGTTGTGACCGAAGCTTAAGGAGAAGGCGACAGGAGACAGCTCACTCCTGGCAGCACCTGAGACAGTACTGCCTTTTATTACATCCCTATTTTCTCCAACTTGACCTTCCTCTCCTCAACAGTCCTACTAAAAGTCATGAACATCCCTCCACAGCATCTCGAGTTATCCTGTTCACAAACCAACCAACACAAAAGGTCCACCTTTATGTAGATATTGTTACATCCATTAAAAAATGGAGGTATTATTTTTGACGTGTATGTGTGTGTGTCTGTGTATCTGTCTGTGTTTCTGCAACTTTGTGGTCAGCATAACTTCAGAACACCTTTATGGATTGAGATGATACAAATATGGGCCTCCCGGTGGATGAACTTGGTACTGCAACAGAACGTCCGGTTTTTGTGTCTTTTGTCCTGAACAAGCTATGGTCTTGACTTTTTGGTGACAGATAGCTTTTCCTGTCTGGAATAAGTTGTGTAGATTTGGTCCCCCTAGCAGCTTGTTCTGGAACTGCAGGGCACTTTCTGGCAAAATATTTGAAAGTCGATAAGTCCAGACAGGAACAACGTATTTTCATCATTTTTGGTATGTAGGTAGCTGAGAGAGAGATGTAACGGCATATTTAAATGCAAATCATGCAAATGAAGACTTAATTTGCATAATCAATGTAAAAAAATTCTGTGATTCCTTATTGGTGAATGATGGGAAGTTGTTTTTTTACCTTGTAACGATATGTGTAAGTTACTTAAAGGTTAACATCACTTTGCATATATTATGTTAACGTAGAGGTCATTTGCATAATTCATGAGGACATGTTGAAATTAAGTTTTGACAAAGAAGAGGAATTTTACGCGCAAAATATCGTAATTTTAATTAAACTAGATTATGGTAATTACGATCTTATATCCATAGTCAATGAGACAAAAAAACATTTACAAAAACTCATATATATTTCATGGAGGTATGAAATCAACGAATTCTTGTGTTAGGTCTCTTATTATAATTAGTATGAATTTTTGTTAAATTCACAAGTAGTTTTTAAAATTCGCATGCACAGTAATACAAACATTATCAATTATATCTTAAAATTCATAAAACAGTTTCATGTTCTAGAAAAGCTAGTCAGAATTAGTGCATATAGCAACATTGTGTCGTACTGTGAAGACATTTACATTGGCTAATCACTCTTTAAACAGGTGTATGAAGTAGGGGATACGAGAGAGATAGTGTGCGTCTGTTTTTCCGCATAAAGTTACTTCTGGTCATCATAACTTAAGAAGTCATTTATGGACTGTGATGATATTTGGAATGTGGGTAGGTCATAGGAAGGCAAAGGTCAGGGTAGAATTTGGGCCTCCTGGTGTCTGAACTTGGTACTGCAGCAGAAATTCCGTTTGGCTGCTAGGGGGGCCAAACTCATATCACTTGTTCCCTAGTCCAAGAGCTATCTATCATCCACAATTCGTGACCCTAGCATGTCCAGATATTGAGATATCCAAACCGTAAGTTCTGCTGCAGTGCCAACGAAAGCCGCCAGGGGCCCAACATCTAATCATTTCTAGGTCTCATCAAGATCTGCCCACCAAGTTTCATGACAATGCATTAAAAGCTTCTTGAGTTATGCTGTTCACAATCAAAGACAGACAAACGCTAACTGAAAACATGGCGAAGGTAAACATGCGCCAAACAGGCGCATCACTGTCGACGCGGAAGAATACCCGGAAGTAATGCTCGAAAAAAACTCCACTCTTGCACTTTTCAGCCACGTAAGATCTAAATGTAAGAGTTATTTTGCTCCAGACTATGAGAAATGTGACATTAAACCTCAAGACATTTAAACCATCTCGTCATTTTTACCGCACACAACCACCTGTGCATCC